ATGGATTGTTATAAGAACTGTAAGAGCCCCCCAAAAAATTATTTATTAATAAAAATAAAATAAAATGACAAAAAAGTACCAATACTAGATCCCACTTTTATGAAATATACATATTGAGATGTGTTAGGCAGGGTTCTCTAGAGAAACAAAGCCAAGACACTTAAGATTATATATATAAATGGATAGGTTTATACAGTGAGAAGGAATATACGGCTAATTAGTCCACACAGCAGTACAGAGGGCTCAGTTCAACTCACTTTCCTGGAACAGTTAATAATACTGAAGGTCCGTCAACTCATGCAGGCAGCTGTTCCAAGATCAAGGAAGCGGACAGTGGAGTCTGCCCTCAGGCAAGACAGACAGACCGCTGCAGGCAGCAAGGTGGGACAGTAACAGTCAGTAGGGAGGAGCCTCAAGCTCTAGTGATGCGTGGCAAGGCCACAGAATCCACGGATTGGCTCCACCCACAAGTAGTGCAGCACAGGGTTGAGGCAAAGAGCTTTCTCAAGCAGCAGCATGCTGGTCCAGTCACCAGGGAGAAGAGAGAAGGGGATTGGGGTCAGCTTTGGAGAGCCATTTATCTCATCGCCCTCCTGTAAAGCTGTGACCCAATTAAACTCTGCCCACATGTCCCTGTGGAAGCCTAGTTGGCATAATGAACCTAACTATCACACTAGCCACTATGCCCTATGGTAGTAAAATATGGTGACTGTAATTAAATGTCACTGAAGGCTTAACTTTAAAAAAGAGAGAGATGAGCCTCCAGGGTGATTCCAACTTATAAGCCATAAAGTCTTACCATAACTGTGTTAACTCTCCCCATATTACTTTACAAGTTCTTCACATCTATAGTTCTTAGGGAAAAAAATCTTCAGAATGTTTTTGTATGCTTTCTCAAGGGCAGCAGGAGAGAAAATTAGAGAATCTATAGCTAATTTTTTCCTGTAATTTCTGAAAAGAATCTCAAATATAAGAATGAACTAGAGGAAACAGCAGAAAGAAAGGAAGAGGGACAAACTAAACTGATAACAAACAAACGGATGAGTTGGGATATGAGTTGGGTGCTCGTGGGAATGGTGGGCCCGAGGAAGCCCCTGCTGTTGGAGCAGTTCCTCAAAGGCACCTTCTGTTTCAGAATCCAATGGCCTGATTGCCTGCCCAACACTGATCACTTCTCCTTGGCTGACCGTGTTTCTAGTAAGGCCTAGAGGTGACCTTTTCTTGCGTTTTTTGGAGATGTTTCCTATTGTCTTCTATACTGTCACTAACTTTCCTCTTTCCCTCCCAGATTCTTGAAATGCAAGTTCATAGAGATGATTAGGGAGTAGAAAGATGAGCCTGCTTCTCTATCAGCTTCTCTGGTTGACAGAAGCTCCAGTCCCTCACTCAGTGAAGCTGAAGCAGAATAGCTAAGGACAAAGAGCTTGGTAGCAGAGGCAAGGAAACGAACACTGGGGAGAATAGGGACCCAGGGACGAGCATGGTGGTCTTAGTACAAGTACCCTTGGGGAGGCACTGGGAGGGAGTACTCTCCTGGCAGAAAGAAGCGGAGGAGAGTTGTCCCCTGGTTAAATGAGTGCAGCTCTCTCTCTGCTGGCCTCTATTTTCAGGGTCAGTACCTGAAATACTTTCATTCACCTGGGCTTACAGAAGCTGTCCCCTTCCCCCAAGCTTTCCTTCCCCGTTTTGTCCTTTTTCGTTTCTTTGGCCAGTCTGCTGCCCAGACTGGGGATCAGGGATGCTATCCTTCAGGCCTGGGATGAGACCTGGAGCTTAAGACCTGTGTCTTGGCCACAAATAAATTGTTGTTGTTGTTGGGTGCTGTGGAGAAGCCAGGTTCGACCCCTACCGACCCTGTGTACAACAGAATGGTCCTGTGCCATCCTCCCAGTGGTTCCCATGTTCGAGTCCGTCGGTGCAGCCACTGTGCTAATCCATCTTGTTGAGGTTCTTCCTCTTCGTCACTGCCCACCCCCCCCTTCGCCAAGCATGGCGCTCTTCTCCCAGGGACTGGTCTCTCCCGACAACATGCCCAAAGTGCAACCATGTCAAATCAAACCAAACGCACTTCCATCAATTCGGTGCCAACTCATAGCGACCTTACAGGACCAAGTGGAACTGCTCGTAGGGTTTCTGAGGCTGTAAACCTTACAGGAGCAAACAGCCTATCTTTCTCCCAGAGCAGCTGGTAGTTTCCAACTACTGACTTTGGCACAGTTAACAGCCCAAGGCACAACCCACTACAGTAGAACCCAGGACCTCGATGCTAATCTGTTCTAGAAGGAGCGTCGAGACTCGATACAGTTGAGTTCCGATCAATTTTTCCCATAAGAAATAACTGAAATGGATTAATCCATTCTTGACCACCAAGTCTTTACCCTAACCTTGCCTTTTTATACAAAACATTACACAGAAATGTCAAAGTAAATAAATTCAGAGTTCAATAATATAATTTAAATGAGAAACACAACATTAAAAAAAGTTTTTAACAACTACAGTATGGCCCATTCCTTGAGACTGATGAGGATCTGGATCTGTGGAAACGGATGTGGAGAGGAGGGATGGAGAGTCAATGTTTGGAAGGGGAATCCCCTTCCATAAAATCAACTGGTAGCTGCTTTTCAGTTTTTTCCCTTCTGTGGTAGTTATAATCATTTGTCAGTTTGAGAGGATTAAGAGTGAAGGGGTGGAGTCTAGCCTGTCAGTCAGTTCATAGCCAATGAGGCCTCTGTGTGGGCGTGGCTTTCCCCTGAGGATTCTGGGAACTCCTGTATTCCTCCTTGGAGGCTGGACACTGTCTCTCTGCTCACTCCCTGCGAGACATTTCTGAAGAGAAGCCACATGAAGCTACCCTGATGCAGCCAGAACCCTGGGAGCTGAAGGAACCACCTGGACACCCCTGCCAGCCCCGAGACGCTTACAATGCCACTGGATCCACAAGACTTCCCACCCACTGGCCTGTGATCTTCCTGTATTCAGCGTCATTGCATGTGTTTCATGAGTCTGAAGAGGAATTTATAGATTTGTATCAGACATATGGGCTAAAATTAGACTTATGGACTTGATCTGGACTGGACTTGGATATTTTCTCAATATTCAACTGCTCTTGTATGTATAGCTCTTTCTTATACACATGAGTGTCTGTGGATTTGTTTCTCTAGTCGAACACAACTTCTTTGCCTTTTTTCACTAGGTCCTGACTGGCTTTCTTAAAAAAAAAAAAATCTGTATAATGTGCTCTGCTGTTGGCATTTCCTTAACTGTTTTCTAAAAGGGTTTACTAAATTATCATCAACACGGTTAACCAGTTTCTTTATCATGATGATTCTTTTCAAAAAATTCTTACGATCCATGTTTTTTATCTAAAAACAGTTTAAAAAGCCACAAAAACTAAGAAAATTATAGCAAAACACTCGGAACATAGTCACAAAAGGTTTAAACAACGTGTACTAACAACACCAGCTAACACCGAGTGACCGAAACATGTGCTGCTTTTGTTTACAAAAATCACATGCATCAGTCGGAGTCTGATGTTTTGTTCGAGCGCCAATGCAAAAATTTCTCAACATTTTCACGTCGAAATCCAATTGTGTTGAGTACTGAGGCGGTTGGGTACCAGGGTTCTATTGTATACCATAGGGCTCTTTTAAGGGACATTAAATCTGCTGCAAAGAAGCCCTTGTGGCTTACATAATGGGCAGCTAACCACAAGGTAGTGGGTTACATGTTGGACTGCTAATCACAAGGTTAGCAGTTCGAGCCCACCAACCGCTCTGCAAGAGAAAGATGAGGCTTTCTACTCCCATAACGATTCAGAAAACCTTAGAACCCCAAAGGGGCAGTTCTACTTTGTCACTGTGAGTCAGAATTGATTCAATGACAGTGAGGTGTTTTTTGTTTGTTTGTTTTCAAAAATAAAACTACTGCCATCGAGTTGATTCTGCCTCATACGACAATCCAAAAGGACTCAAATCAAACCCACTCTCATTGAGTTTATTCCAACTCATAGTGACTTTATATAGGATACTGAGGCTTTAAATCCTTATGGGAGTAGATAGCCTCTACTTTCCCCGCAGAGCAGCTGGTGGGTTTCACACTGCTTGCCTGGGTAGGTTGTCGCTTCCAGTTCATCGCTCCATAGCCATGACTTTATTTCCTTCCTTTCCCTATATCCCGCTATGGCCTTGAGTTAGGAAAGATAAGCTCTAAGCTGGTTCTGAGGTTTAACTACTGACCCCTTTGCCCTTCCCCAGTACCCTCACCCTACCCTCAGTGCATCCAGGGAAGATAGCTTTTATCCCCCACCTCCCGTCTTTCTCTCTGTGGTCTAAAAGACAGGGCAGAAGGGTTGGGAAGGGAGGGATTGGCACGGCCTAGGGGTGGGGAGCCCTGGGCACAGAGAAAGCAGACACAGCAGAACTATTCTGTCCCAGAGCTGCAGGATCTACAAATTTCAGCCCAAACCAACCAATGGGAAAAGGCCCTCTAATCCCAGAGAAACTAAAGAATGCTCTTCAGTTTTGCAACTTCCCTGGTGAACCCCACATCTTCCCTCCACCCCCACCTTTACCTTGGCACTCATAGGAGCCTGGAGGCCCCCTAGGAGGACAGTCCCATACCCCAGTAGTGAACTCAGCTGGACTGTCCCCCAAGCAAAGCTGAGGAATGTTCTTACGGAGATGTCAGTCAGGACTTTGGACTTGAAGGGCAAACTTCCATCTCCTTGGCTGGGTCCTCCTGTTTCGGAGGCTCTTCAGGCCTGCTAACACCTTGCCACAGCAAGGACGGCTGTTCCAGTTGAGGAGGGAGGGCAACATCCCCCAGCTTTATCAGAGACGTGGGGATTGGCCCAGTTCTCCACATGCGTGAAGGGGTTAAGAGGCTGGGCCAGCCACCTCAGCCTGCCCCTCCCAGGGACTGAGCGCTTGCTATAAAGGGGCCTATCTACGCGCCTGGGCCAGGCAGTATCAAAACCAGGCATTGTGCCCAGCGCCCCCGCCATGTGGGAACTTCGGTCAGCCTCCTTCTGGAGGGCCATCTTCGCCGAGTTCTTCGCCACCCTTTTCTATGTCTTCTTCGGTTTGGGGGCCTCACTGCGTTGGTCCCCGGGTCCCCTGCATGTCTTGCAGGTGGCTATTGCCTTTGGCCTGGCCCTGGCCACCCTGGTGCAGGCTGTGGGCCACCTCAGTGGAGCCCACGTCAATCCTGCGGTCACTTTTGCCTTTCTTGTGGGCTCTCAGCTGTCCCTACTCCGTGCCTTCTGCTATATGGTAGCCCAGCTCCTGGGAGCCGTGACCGGGGCTGCCATGTTGTACAGCATCACCCCGCCTGCCGTCCGAGGAAACCTAGCGCTTACCACGGTAATTGTCCCCAAGCAGGTGGGGAACATCGTGCCCTGACTTCTTGCTGGGGGTGGTGGGTTGATGGGTAGATCAGTTGCTGCCCTGGGGATCTGGGACGTGTGTGTGGAGAGTCAAGAGATGGTACATAGGAGGTAAGGGGGGCAGAGTCCTAGAGTAAGAACCCAAATCCTTGATGCAGGCTGCAGTTTTCCTTTGGCCTCCTCGCAGGGTATTGGGGAATCTCTTACTTTCTCCTAAGGGGTTTCCATTTCTTCAGCCTGGAACGTTGGTACAGGCGTATCCCACACGGATGGATGAAGGATTGGCTGAGTACCGTAAGCTCCCAATGCCACTGCGATGGAAGGAGTTGTGTTATCCTTGCTCTCCAGGAATGGATGCCCTGCGGGGACCCCTGCCGGGGCCTTGAGGGGGAAGGCTGGGGCTGGGGCCCCCCAATGACCCGTCTCCCTTCCCCTTCCTTCCCCAGCTGCATCCTGGAGTGAGTGTGGGCCAGGCTGCTGTCGTGGAGATCTTGCTGATGCTGCAGTTCGTGCTCTGCATCCTGGCCACATACGATGAGAGGCAGAACGGCCGTCCCGGCTCTGCGGCCCTGCCTATCGGCTTCTCCCTCACGTTGGGCCACCTCTTCGGGGTAAGCAGAAGACAGGAACGAGTTCTAGTTCAAGGATTCCAGGGTCCCTAAACCTTTGCAGGGCTTCCAGAGTGCTGCTTGCCTCACCCACCGTCAACCGTGAACATTAACCAATGGACTGTGTATTAATTGCCCAGAGCAATCCACCCCGCCCTCATCGGCTACCTGCAACTAGTCTGTGTAGTCCTATTTGCCTCCAAGGTGGAAGCCACAGGCAGGTGCGGCCTCCGCCGGCGGGCCCGCTGCATCCTCAGATAAGGTACCAGTGTCCTCTCCTTGCCGAGGGGCCCTTGGAGGGTCAGGCAGGCAGGTTGTCCTTCCCCAGTGGGCTGCCGGCTGAAGGCCAGGTGCCAGTTCTCGGGGGGCAGTGGGGGTTGTGGGGAGAGGAACCGGGCTGGGCTGGGCTGGGGGCGGGTCTCAGTCCCCACTGTGTTTTGCAGATGCATTATACTGGTGCAGGCATGAACCCTGCCCGCTCCTTCGCTCCTGCCATTCTCACCCGCAACTTCACCAACCACTGGGTGAGTGAGGGGGCGGGGCACCCTGAAGCCTGGTGGATGGGTGGGGGCTGCAGGTCCCAGGTTTGGTTCTGCCCCGTCTGGGTGTGCTGGCAGCTCCGCTAGCCTCTCAGCCAACGGGGCTCTCAGAGCTTGGCATGCTTTGTGAGCAGGATCCGTTCTTTTGCCCGAAAGAGAAGCTCTTGCTCATATTTCTCCTGCTCGGGTTACTCAAGAGGCTTTTACTCAATGGTACCTACTGGGTGCTGAAGCTAGGACTGGACGGGCACACAACTGAACGTGATGACAAAAACATCTCACCTCAGAGAAGAGCGTGTGTTGAGAGCGCACCTGGCTCTGAGTCTCAGGCCAGTTCTAGCACTTTGCTAGCCTGCTGTGTGACCTGGGGCAAGTAACTCACCTACTCTGAGCCTTCAGCTTCTTTCACATCCAGCGGAGTCTTATGAGAGTTTCGTGTGGACGTTGTGTGTGTGTGTGTATGTGTGTGAAACACTCTGCATAGAATCTGGTGTGCAGTGAGTCTTCCGTAATACATATCGGCCGTGTATGCAAACCGAACATTTGAAAATAATTTAAAAAAGAAAAAAGAATTCCAAAAAAATTCAAAGCAATATATAAATGAGTGCAAATTGGGAATAACAGGCAGGCTATCCATGTGCTAAGAAGGTATGGGGTAAAGGAATGATTGGATGAATCAGAAAAGAAATGGATGAGTTTTTGAGGTACAGGCAGTAAGAGCCTAGCACTGCAAAAAGCAAACACACACGCAAAATAAGAAGCGCTAATTTTTATTCACACCGTGCCCAGTTTTACATGCCAAGTCCAGGAGATGTTTTCCACTGAGGGCTGGAAAAGGGTGGCCTTACCTTTGGCCCCTTCCCCAACCTGAGTCCGTATTCCTTTCCTCTTCCTACAGGTGTACTGGGTGGGCCCAATCATTGGAGCGGGCCTGGGCAGCCTCATCTATGACTTCCTCCTCTTCCCCCGGCTCAAGAGTGTTTCTGAGAGGCTGTCTATCCTCAAGGGAGCCAGGCCCAGCGACCCCAGTGGACAACCAGAGAGCCCAGGGGAAGCCACGGAACTGAAGACCCAAGCCCTGTAGGGAGAGAAAAGAGGGAAGCGGTTGGGTTCCTGTGGAGAGGCTGAACCAGCCCTTAGCTGAAGAAAGAGACTGGAGGGAGGGGCACGTACTTCTTTCTTTTTTAATTTATGTATGTCCCTCCCCCTCCTTTTGCTGTGTGAAATCTTTCAAGTTGCATTCATGAGCTGGTTGGTGCAGACTTCCCGCCCACCTCCCGTCACTGTGTGTGCATGATGGTGCAGCTGACACAGGAAGGTGGGGGAGTGAGTGCGGTAGGGTCTTGAGAAAGAAGTATCGTCCCGTGTCCTGTCTCTCCCCCTAACCCACCACGGCCGGCACAGGAGCCAAGACCTCAAGTTGTTGACTTTTAGCCTGTTGCCAATCACAGGTATGGCTCTTGAGTTCTACGGGGCCAGGGAAGCTGGCCTCTGAGGAGGCCCACGGACAGAAGTGAAGGGGCAGGCAGTTCAAGGCTTTGGGATCCGGACTGAGGCTGGGTTGCTCATGGAGGTGGGTGTGAGGGGAGAGCTTGGGGTGGTAGCAAATGGAAGCCTAAGCCCCAGATCAAGGTGCAACTGGACCACCGAGGTTGGGGGAGGTTAATGGAGTAGAGCCCACTTAGCGCAGAGAGGCTGGCCCCAGGCACTTGGGTGGGACAGTAGTTCTGAGAAAAGTGAACACTGGAGTTTGAGCTGTTCCAAGGAGCCCTGGTGGTGCAGTGGTTACGAGCTGGGCTGCAATCTGAATGGTCAGCAGTTCAAAACCGAGGGAAAAGATAAGGCTTTCTATTCTCTGAAACAGTGACCGTCTCAGAAGCCTATGGGGCAGGTTGCTAGGAGTCGGTATGGACTTGGTAGCAGTGAGGGTTTTTATTTTTTAATTTTTTATGAAGCCCTATAACCCGGTCTACATTCACTGGCTGGGTTGTGTGTTCATTCTGGCACGATGGATCTCTTGAGAGGCCCTGGGCCAGTAAGCTCCCAGCCTTCAACAGAAAGTAAGTGAGCCTAGAACAGAAGCCCCAGTGCTACAGTGGTTAGAGCACTCAGCTGCTAACCGAAAGGATGGGAGCTCCAACCTGTAGGGAGAAGAGAGTCCCCCACAAATCATCACAGGTCCAGTAGGTGCAATTGTACAGCGCTAATAAGTAAAGATTATAGTAAAGTCATGGAGAGCATGAGAGGTAGAGGAGAGATTGGAATAATGGAGTCAGACACAATTCATGGTAGCATGCTCACCTCAGCCCCACTTGGTTGTCCTCCTGGGGAAAGCCTGGCCCTGAGAGGAGGAGAGAGAGCTCCCGGGAGTGAGAGCAAGAGAGAGCCCCAACTTTATTGTTAACCACAGGTTATATCTCATTAGGGGATATGATTACAGGTAAGTACATGTCACAGGAAGGGGCAGTACAAGAGGCATACACATTGTAGGAAGGGGGTCTATGATAGGCATAAGCGTGACAGGAAGGGGATGAGCTAGGGGTGTGCCCATAGGAATGGGAGGGACTAGGGTAAGGTGACCAGACGTCCCGCTTTTGGGGGGACAGTCCCGATTTTTAACAATTTTTACCACGTCCTGCGGCGTTTTAAAAAGTCCCGATTTTTGGAAAGAATGCATGACAAGCTAGGGTATATGGTTTTCGGCTGCCATGTGGTTATTTCGCCAAGATATGAGTTTTATATATCAATGGTGTCCCACTTTACCAATGTTAAAATCTGGTCACCTTAGTAGGGGTATACATGTAACAAGATGAGTGGGCCCTAGATTCATAATGGTGGCCTACCCTTGGTCACCCTTGGGCGGGCTTGACCTCTTTGGGGTCTCCCCAGGAAACAGACAACTACTATCCTTATCAGAAGGGAGTGGGCACTACTTGTTGTGGGATAAACAGGATGTGACTGCTTGCTCTAGATGGCTGATAACCCTTAGGGAGAATAGTCCCTGATGTACTTCTGATGACCTCCAAGTATATAGCCATTCGCAAGCAGCTAAGTTTGGCATATATTTGGGGGAGACAACTTGGGAGAAATCCTTCTGCTTCTCACACCAACCCACAAGCCAATTCATGGAAGCAAGATGTAGCAGCCTGTTTCTTTTGGCAAAGATTTACAACCTGAAGAACTCTATGGGGCCCCATAACTGTGAGTCAAAACCAACTCCATGACAGTGCACTTTGTTTTTTTTGAGCTTAGAATCTAGGAAAATTAAGCAACTTCACAATTCTGCCTGACATTCCCCAGACTGGCTTCCTGGTAGAATATACTTAAACCCCAGGAGGTCCAAACAGGACAATCTGATACCTGGAGCAAAGTTCTTGTGTGTGTGTTTGGGGTGGGGTTATACCTAGGAAGAGAGGCTTTGACCCTCAGGGGTTTTTTAAAATCATTTTTTGGGGGGCTCATACAACTCTTATCACAATCCATATACATACATCAATTGTGTCAAGCACATCTGTACATTTGCTACCCTTATTCTCAAAACACATGCTCTCTACCTAAGTCCTTGGTATCAACTCATTTTTCCCCTCCCCACTCCCTCATGAACCCTTGATAATTTATAAATTATTATTTTGTCATGTCTTACACTGTCTGATGTCTCCCTTCACCCACTTTTCTGTTGTCCATCCTCCAGAGAGGAGGTTATATGTAGATCCTTATAATTGGTTCCCCCTTTCTACTCCACCTTCCCTCCACTCTCTGGTATCGCCATTCTCACCACTGGTCCTGAAGGGATCATCTGTCCTGGATTCCCTGTGTTTCCAGTTCCTATCTGTACCAGTGTACATCCTCTGGTTTAGCCAGATTTGTAAGGTAGAATTGGGATCATGACAGTGAGAGCAACCATTTAAGAATTAGAGGAAAGTTGTATGTTTCATTGTTGCTACCCTACACGCTGACTGGCTCATCTAATTCCCTGGGACCCTTCTGTAAGGGGGTGGGTGTCCTGTTACCTACAGATGGGCTTTGAGTCTCCACTCTGCACTCCCCCTCATTTATAGTGATATGAATTTTTGTTCTTTGATCCCTGGTACCTGATCCCTTCAAATCCTCATGGTCACGCAGGCTGGTGTGCTTCCTCCATGTGGGCTTTGTTGCTTCTCAGCTACATGGCCACTTGTTTACCTTCCAGCCTTTAAGAGCACAAATGGTATATCTTTTGATAGCCGGGCATTATCATCTTTCTTCGCCATATTTGCTTATGCACCCATTTGTTTTCACCGAT